GCCGCCTCAGTGCACGCAGCGCAGCGAAACAGTCGACATGCGACTCGGCGACAGCCGCTCCTTTGCTTTCGGTGAGTGACGGGAGTTCTCAACTTGTGGGCCGCGTGACCGTGAATTTGGTGCAAGTGGCTGTTTCATTTGTGATATTTGCACTGTTTCATGAATGAGGTGAATAGCTAAGGATACGAAAGGAGCCGGCCTGCACTTGTTTAACGATAATCCGCGCGTTGCTTCGAGGACGGAGGAAAATCATGAAATCTGCAGTCAGAAGCGGCTTTTGAATTGCGTTTTCGCAATTTGAACCTTAGGCTATTATAGTAATAGTTTGCTGGCCGTGATTCTTTTGGTTATTTAACGATGCTGTTTGGATTTGTGGTTACATTTTATCGGTGAATAAGAATTTTGGGGCTGAGCGACTCAGTGAACGGGCGAGGACAATTTGTCTGTCGTAGAAAATGAGGGCCGATTGACGCAAATGAGACGTTCACTTTCTGGAGAGAAACTTCGTCGATCGACGTAAATTCCGTTGTGTACGAAGTGTGGAAATCCCTGCACTTGAATTAGTCCGGCCGTGCGCGCGGAACTTTCTCCGTTCGCCTCGTTTCAGGGTCTAGCGATCGATTGACGTGTGTAAGATAACGTCTAGTTGGCATCTTCTTTTCGTCGTTAAACAAACCATAAACGAACAAGATGGGCTGAACTTGTAGCTCGGATGAGGTTAAGAAGAAATGGCCGTGGGTCTCGGATCGCATTAGTGCAACAGTGGCTTGAAGAACACCTTTGGACTGCCACACATTCCCGATCTCATGAGGGCTCTGTCTCGTCAGGTGTGCGGGTTCCGTATCTGCGTTCTCGATTATTCTTTTGTTTCCGAAGCCCACGGAATGTTCGGGCGCTGTAAATCCCAACGCAAGCCTTCGCTGGGTCGGGCCCCACCAGGATTTCTCCAGACGTGCGAGACTTTTCGTTCTTTGGAGATCAGCCCCGGACGTTCTTGTGAGTGAGCGCCTTTTTTGGACGAAGGGGTTAACAGACATCCTGGGTGCGAACTAGGAACCCGAGATGTTGACTTTTCTTCTGTCGGTCGGCACAGAACTTGTGATTTTCTCTTTGTGTTCGCAGGCTGGTGGCTGTGCTGCTCTCTGGTAGCGACAAACGCGGACCACAGGATAAGGAGACAAGGTCAGTGTTGCCCCAGAAACAGCAAACCCGCGTCACATTTCCCATAACACTGCGTCGCTCGCACATGATCCATGGTTCATTTCGGGATGCCATGACGGACTTTTGTGCACGTGGTTCTGAACATTCGTATTCCGTTTCTCCAGAACTCTTCTTGACGAGATGAGTAACTGTCGGCGTTTGTAGGAAAGCCCCGCACCTGAGCAGTTGCGGATGGTTCCTTAGTTCACTCTTGCCTCAACTCCGTCCTAATTCCATACGTGTTGCATAAGCGGCAGGCGATTGTCGCCGA